ATGGGCTGATGGGAGACTGCGTACTGCAGCTGTGTCACCCCAGGGACTGAGGCCCTCCGCTGCTTGGAGCTCGATGCTAGCAGCTGCCATTGGTTGGACTTCCCAGGGGGCCCTGCCATCGCTGGCAGGGTGCAGTGGTGCTCCTGGCCCCAACCACCCTGCAGAATGGGCTACCCAGAGGCTGGGATGGGCCTTGGCACTCCTGCTTTGCACCCTGTTCCTATGAAGCCAAGCCTGGGGCTGGAGAAATGCAGGAGTTGTATGGTGTGTGTCAGCTCTCCTGATGTCATTCCCCTGGGAAAGGCTGTCGTGTCTGAAAGTTTCCCAGCCACAGCACTGGCCTTTCTAGGGTCTTTGGCAAGGAAATCCCTAAACTTTTGTTCTGGGTTTGCCTTCTTGAAAGCAAATATTGAGAGTATGCCTGATGTGTGTTGGGCTTCATCATGCAGTTGTCGTCCCTGGTCCCTTGAGTCTTGATAGGGGTATCCCTCGCAGTTCCCCCGCCTGCTCTGTCCCAGGCAATCATCGCCTGCCCCTTGGCTGAGCTGAGTGTTTCCATCTCTGCCAGGAGGCCCTGATCCACCTAGGGGCCAAGTTCTCACCGTGCATGAGGCAGGACCAGCAAGTGCACAGCTTCATCAGTGCCAAGCGGGAGAAGGAGAAGCATTCAGCTTGCTGTGTGCGGAACGACAAATCAGGCTGCGTGCAGACCTCGGAGGAGGAGTGCTCAGTGAGTGTGGTGGTCCCTTTCCATGCTGTCCCTGCAGGCTCAGGGCCACTTCTGTTGATGCTTCCCCCACCCTGGGCTTCACAGTGACACTTCTCTCTCCTGCAGTCCACTCTGGCTGTGTGGGTGAAATGGCCCCATCACCCCAGCACACCAATGCTGGCAGGAAGCAAGAGGCAGTTTGGGTCTGTCTGCCATCAGGACCCCAGGTAGGTCCTGCTTAGCCCAGCCACCATCCTGGAGGGGACAGGGCTGCTGTGACAGTAGAGTCAGAGATGCATGGAGTCCCAGGACAGTTGATTGCTGGATGGGACAGCAGCTGCTCTGGACACCAAGGGACATGGGGGCAGTGATGTCCCTACCTTCCCCAACAGCTGAGGGAGGCAGAGCGTGATCATATTTCTGCTCGCCCCTAGTCTCCGTTGTTGTTGGCTGCCCACCTGCACAGTGGCCTGTTGTGAGCTGTTGGTGCCTTCCTCATCCCTTTCCCCCTCCTCACCTGATCCCGCACAGGCTCCCTTCTTGGGGTACGGCAGTCACATTCCCAGCACGGCTCTGCCCCAGAGCGCTGCCAGCTTCTGTGTGCCACGGCGCACCTTTGTCATCAGTCGCAGTGGGCTGATGTAGAGCTGCGACCAGCGGAATGCCCACCTTTGGGGTTGTGTCCATCTGGAAAAGAGCCAGTGAGTTGCTGGGCAGCTGCATGCTCTCGGACGGCTGCCTTTGTGCTGAAGCCGTGATCTCTGCTCACTGGGAGGAGGCTGCGGCTTCGATCAGCACAGCCTTGGCTGATCTGATGTAGCCTCTCACCAGCCCCTTGCCAGGGACAGAGGGGAGCTGTGGGACAGCAGCCTGAGGGCAGGGACAGCAGTGGTGGCTCCCTGGGGGATCCTGCCTTGTGCTAAGGAAAGTTATTTCTCAGGCTGATCTCTGCTTTCTGTTGCTGCAGGGTGTGTGAGCAGCCAGCCTCGATGGAGCCGCATGAGTGGCCAGATGACATCACCAAGTGGCCGGTGAGCATCACCAGTGGTACAGAGCCTGTATGGGCAGCTGGAATATGGCATTTGCATCCTTCTGTGCAGAGCCACAGCTGTGTTGGTGGAATGGGGGGGGTGTCTCTGGTGCAGCCTCCTGCTTGTTGTCACTAACACTAGATGAAGGAATCCATGGCTTTGTCCAGCCATGGCTCAAAGCCCTCCAACAACAAAAGTTCCCCTGTGCCAACTAAAGCCCTGGGCCCTGCCAGGGTAACAGGGTGATGGAGACCGACTCAGCCTCGGGGCTGTTTTTGTCCCTTGGCGGAGAGGAGGTGTTGATTGAGGCTGAGGCAGATGGGGTGTCGGGCACCATCCTGCTGTCAGAGGGAGGCCTTGGGAGGCCCATGTCTGTGGGACTGGCTTCTTCCCAAGGGGCTGTTTTGACTTTACCCGGACAGCAAACAAAGCCATGGCCGTCTGACTGCAGCCTGTTGTCGTTTTCCAGATCTGCACAAAAAACAGTGCTGGGAATTACACCAACCACCTTCACATGGACTGCGTGATTACAGGCAGGCCCTGCTGCATTGGGACCAAAGGAAGGTAATGAGTTTTACCTGTATGGGGAGGGGCTGGGTGTTGGGGTGAGACAGAGGGGACTCTTTTCAGGTTGAAGACACAGCCACTTGTCCTTCCTACATGCAGCCCAGAGCCCTGTTAAGAAGGGAAGTTGGACAAGGAGCTATGACAGGTCTCCCAGATGGAGCAGGACTCTGGGATGAGCAGTAGATAACAGCCAGCCTGAGTCTTTGGTGTGGCAGGGTATCATCTCACTCAACTGTTCCTGCAGTTAGGAGAGACTCGGATCCCTAAGCATTAAGTACTTCTGGCTGGGGAGTTCCACATTTTTCCTTGGGAATGGCCACCTTGGTCCTGACAGGCTACACTGGCCCCCGCCTGGAGTCCCTAAGTTGTCAAGGTGTCAGGAAACAACATGCTCTGGGTTTGCCAAGGAGGAAGATGCTGATCTTCCTCATGTTGCTCCTCAGCTTGAGGAGTTACCCAGTGCTGGCTTTCCCTGCTGGGGAGAAAAATCAATGCTGCCCCAAGGAGTTTCTCAGTCCCTTAAAGTCACGACCAGGACGCTCTTGGCTTAGCCCCCTGCTTTCCACTGTCAGCTACAGAGGCACAAGACTCGCCCAGCCCCAGCTTTTCCAAGTTCTGGTGGTTCTCTCTCAGCTGTAAATAGCTCAGCTTTAGCACTTGTTATGGAACCCTTGTATGTAGGGTGTTAAGTCTGTGGAGGTGACTCGGGCTTGCCTGTGGGAGTGAAGCCAGAGGGGTGTAGGGAGAGTGGCACTGGGCTGAAATGGGAATGTATTAGTGCATCTGTTGCACAGACACTACAGCACGTCAAGGGCAGCAGAAGGCATCAGTTCTCATAGGCAGACTCGGGATGAGACAAGGGGGAGTGGGTGGTCTGGGAAGGCACGGGATGGTCTATTGTAGACTTCCACATGCAACTTGTTCCTCATTTTGATTACTTGTGCCTCCTCCAGGTGTGAAATAACTTCCCGGGAATATTGTGAATTTATGCGGGGCTATTTCCATGAGGAGGCAACACTCTGCTCTCAGGTGAGTGCGGAGCTGGGGGGTTGTATGGCTGCCCTTCTGCCTCCTGTTCCCCTTAGCAGCTTGGCAAGATCTGGGGGTGACAGTGGTGCAGCGTAGATGGGAGTCCTGTTCCTGTCCCACCCTGAGCCTGGGGAAAGCTGCTGATCCAGACTGTGGTGGCAGAGCTGGCTGCATCTGTCCCTCTTTGGGGACTAGTTTAGGACTTGGGCTGGCAGCTGTGAAAGCCCAACACAGGACCACAGTGGAAGCAGTGGGTGCATACAATCTTCCCGCTCCATTGGTGAGCACACATGGATGTCTCGGTTGTGCATGAGCTGGGATAAAGAATTAGGGCATAAAGCTACCACAGGGAATGGGTAGGGTCATGAGTAACAGTGTTGGAGACAAGTACTGGGACTTGATGGAGTGAAGAGGGAGGAGAGCCCCTCTTTCAGAGCTAACTGCAGTCTCTGCCCTGGCCTTGGTAAGGGGCCGTGCTGGCTGGTGCATCTCACAAACCCACTTCTGCCCTAGGTGCACTGCATGGATGATGTCTGTGGACTCCTCCCTTTCCTAAATCCAGAAGTCCCTGACCAGTTCTACCGCCTCTGGCTCTCACTTTTCCTCCATGCTGGGTAAGCATAGGTGTAAAACTTCCACTGTCTGGGCTGGGGAACCCTGAACCCTGGGATTGCTATGAGGCTTGTTCTGGCGGTCCCTTCCCTGGGGGACACAGGGGTGCTGAGCTGTTGTCCCTGCTGAGGTTTACCACGCTGCGTTTGCCGGGAGGGATATTGGAGGCATGGGCGAGGACAGACCAGAAGCTCTCCAGCAATGAAAGAACACAAGCACAGGGGTGACTTCAGTGGCTGCTGCTTCAGCTCCTGTACTCTGAACTTGGCAGGATCCTGCACTGTCTGGTTTCAGTCTGTTTCCAAATGACGATCCTGCGGGACCTAGAGAAGCTGGCAGGATGGCATCGCATCTCTATCATCTACCTGCTCAGTGGCATCACTGGGAACCTTGCCAGTGCAATTTTTCTTCCCTACAGAGCAGAGGTGGGTCTCCTGCAGACTAGGGTCCTGGTAACTTGCCCTGAACACAAGCTGCCCCCACATGCCTGTGCCGCTCTGGCAGAGGCAGAGACAGAGACACCAGAGCTGGGCTGGTGTCTAGCAGATTTGTAGCTAGAAGCCGGCACCACCCCATCATCTAGCTGCTGGGCAGTAACATCCCCCAGAGTACCCTGGGCTTTCCAAGTGACTGGCACAGTCTGGCTGCAGTAAGGCGGCTGCCTCGTAATGAATGGGGGGTTTGTTCAACCACAGGATAAGAGAGGCCCCTGCCGGCGGGCTGGGAATTGAAAGCTGTAGCTGGTGCCAGAGACCCTCCACGTGTGAGGGGCAAAGAGCAGAGCTCGCCTTTCCCACACATTGTCCAGGACTGTCCCTTTCCACATAACCACAGCTGGAGAAGTCTGATGTGACTATCCAGCTTCACTTCAGAAGAGTGTGTGACAGGACCTGGAGGATTATCTTCCAGGTCCTTTGATAAGGAAAAGTGCACGGTGGGTGGGGGGAGCCAGGAGACTGCCTTCAAGGGCTTCTCCCCTCTGGTGACTTAAAGCAGATGTGCCCTCCTTAAATATAAAGTCTGTTCTAGTGATTGCTGGCCTCACACCTACCTTGATCTGAAATCAAACCAGGCCCCTTTACTCCTTGAACCCCATTATAAGGATGAAGCTGCAGGCTGCGGCATCTCTTTGCCAACAAACACTGAACAAGGTGTTGAATGATAACAACTGTAATGCCTGGAGCTGGCTGCAGAAGCCAGGCAGATGGGACGTGCCTGATGTTACCTGTGATGCTCTTCTTCTGCAGGTTGGCCCTGCAGGATCCCAGTTTGGGATTCTGGCCTGTCTCTTTGTGGAGCTCTTCCAGAGTTGGCAAATCCTGGCGCGCCCGTGGAGGGCTTTCTTCAAGCTGCTGGCTGTGGTGCTCTTTCTTTTTGCCTTTGGCCTCCTGCCTTGGATCGATAATTTTGCTCACATTTCAGGATTTATCAGTGGTTTCTTCCTCTCCTTTGCCTTCCTGCCCTACATTAGCTTTGGGAAGTTTGATTTGTATAGGAAGCGATGCCAAATTATCGTTTTCCAGCTCATCTTCATTGCACTCTTCTCAGGACTTGTGATTCTCTTCTATTTCTACCCCATCAAGTGCGAGTGGTGCGAGTTCCTCACTTGTATACCATTCACAGACAAATTCTGCGAGAAATACGACCTGGATGCACAGCTCCACTGAAAGGCAAAGACTAGCTTCTCGAGCAGGCACTGGAGATGGACGGTCTTTGCGTTTGCTGTGCCAGTTCCATGTGGACGAAAGCCTCTAATCCAATGACACTTCTAACCCTGCCCGTGGTTAATTTAAACTGTCTCCTTAGCACTTGGCAGGCATGTTTTGCCTTATCTCAGAAGACTCTGAAAACAGAACATTTGTGCCTTGTTCAATTGTATTGAACCTTTTCTGCTGCCATTATTTTTATTACATTAGTTTCAATACTACATTTTTAACCAGAGTTGTTTACTACTGCTAAGGTGGTGATTAAATGGCAAGGTAGCGTTTTAGCTACTGTTAATTGTTCCACATAGTCTGTGGCTATGTTTGTTACTTGATCTTACCTGTTCTGTTTCACAGATCAGTATAATCAACCCTTTTCTAGCACCCAAAACAGGCAGACACGGATTTGCAGCTGGAAACAAGAGCCTTAAAAGCCTCAGAAAACTAGAGGGTCTCTTTAATTGCTGAAAGTGCGTTCCACAAACAGCTCAGAAACAGACATTTCAAATAACAACTGCAAAAAACATCTGAGAATGTCCATTCAACTGGAGTTTGTTTCTCTTTGAAATGTTACGGCCTTTTCCTCTAGGAAAGTGCTGAATCCACAGTCCGGTCTTGGTAGGGTTGGATTCTCTGTGCTCTCTGTTTAAAGAAAGAAATGGTTTTGGTAATGACAGCAGTTACTGTGTGCCGGACTCTTATCACCACACTACCCCACCTCGACAGCCTGGGGGGAGATCAGCCAGTGCCATAGGTGACTGCTGGTCATAGGCACTGGCGGGCAGGTGGCTTCTGTCATGGCACACGTTTTATGACACTGGATGTTGCAAATGTGGCATTGGTGAAAGAAGAGAAAAAAAAAAAGTTACTGTGGTGACACAGCAACAGTTTCTAACCCAGCTAGCTGGAGCTGCACAGCAAAAACCCAAGTGTTTGGAAAAGCTGTTACAACCACTACTCTTCAGACACTGTGATTGTGATTTTAGATGTGGAAGGGAAGCAGACATAATTTTAAACTCACTAAGCCTAAGAATCTTGGCCATATATCGTGTTTGTGCGCACAGCTTTCTAAAAATAGTAGTATAATACCAGAATTACATCTACATAGGTTACAAACAGGTAAACACACATTATACTACTGCTTCCTGTGCTGGAAGTGTTCTTAAATGCATCAGTTGCACAGAAGTATCATGACCAAAAGTTGTCTAGTGGTGTGTCCTGGCTTCTGAGAACAACGAGTTGGTTAAATTCAAGTTTTTATAAACCAGAAAAATGGAGAAACTGGGCGTCAAAAACGAGAGGGTAGGGAAGCTGAGGTCCCCTTTCCTAACAGAATTCTGGCTCAGAATACACCCACCGTGGAACAGCAAAGAACACGCTGGTTTTGCTTGCAGCATTTGCCACAAACGGGACGTTTGTTAGCTGCAGGCGCTCCGAATGGTACAGGAGCACCAGGAGCAGGGTGGGCGAACAGTCCCTCGGGTATGAGAGTCTGAGGCACACAGAAGGACCCAAATGACCTGGGTGATGGCAAATGCCTGTAGCACAGAGACCTCCGTCCTAGGGATTAGTTAGCACCCAGCCACGTTCCTGACAGTGATTTCCAGACATTCAAGAAGCCTAAAAGCAAGCAAGTTCCTCGAAGCAATCACAACAGCAAACAAAGGAACACTGCACTTAATGAGTCTCAAGACATTGTGGGAGCAGATCAGAGTCTAAACGTGAAACAGGGTTAGAGATGCACTAAGATATTGGCTGCTGTTCCTGACATATGTTAACTGAAGTAGTTGAACTGTCATTCCCTGCCCTGAGAGAAGCACAACCACCACAAGCAGGATACAGAACTAGCCCACAACCACGGCACAAGCCTCACGCGCACACGAGCGTTCAGAACGCTCTGCTATGCAGTGGAGAGCGGCAACACCAGCTGCTGCGAGCCTGAACACTAAGGTCCAGGGAAAAGGAAGAATTGGTCGCTCTTACTGGATATTCAGGACTTACCTGACAGGTTACTTTCGAAGCTTCTTTATGAAGCTGACCTCATCCCGGTTTCTGATGCCATACCTGAAAAGAGAGTTATACTGTTACATGCCAGTTTCCCAGGAACCACAGCCTTTGAAATCCTATAGCTTCCTCTTTCCCAGGGGGAGACAGACTCCTACGATCATGTGCTGCGCTCTAATGCAGCACAAGTTAAAATTCACACTTGTATATGTAAAATGTGCTGCCAGCACTGAAGGATCTCATCATCTGCCTTTTTAACTGCAACACCCCTGAAATGCAACATCTATCACCCTCGGCTCAGTCTTTTGAGGGCAGGTTTGATTAGGGCTGATTTGCTCAATTTTTAATACTTCAGACAAGCGTTTCTTGCTGGTCTGCATGCAGGCTGGCATACCCAGCACTGCTGTGTGCAACAGCTGGAGTGCTCAGCAGCACCTCCCGCCCCCTTGCCCTGAGGACCAGTGTGGAAACAGGAGAGTCGTTTGTCAGTGGTGTTACCAGATTGTCTCTGAGAGGTGGCTGAGCAAGTCCAGGACCCAACACGCTTATCCTCGGTTTGCTCTTTGCTTGCCATTCATCCATCCTCCTTCCTACCTCAGCAGCTCTGCCGAGTCCTCTGTGAGGGTGACGGAGCACTGGAACAGGTTGTCCAGCGAGGCCGAGCATTCTGCGTTCTTGGAGATGTTCAAAACCCACCTGGATGCAGCCCTAAGCAACCAGCTCTAGCTGATACTGCTTGTGCAGAGGGTCAGACTGGATGACTCCCAGAGGTCCCTTCCACAACATCAGGTGTCCTCACCCCATCCTCTGCTGAGTAGGTGCTCCCCCAGTGCTCCCAGTTTCCCCGGAGATGAACTAATGTGCTTCACGTGCATGATGCCATCCCTGGCCTTCTGTGTTCTGCTCCCCTCACGCTTTTTCTTGCTAATCTTGTCTCTGCAGCGTACCTCAGCTACAAGCTGAGTAAGCATAACCTATTCTGCAGGAGTGTGGTACAGGTGGCCGAGGGGCAGCGCAACGTGCCCTGCTGTGGTGTGAGTGGGACGAACGCGCTCAGCACAGGCTGAGGAACTACCCGAGGCCCTCCTGCCCCGCAGGTGCCCTCTCAGGGCAGGGCCCGTCCCACGTCCAGCCCGTGCCAAGCGCAGGACCCACCCGAGCCCAGTCCCAGGGCAGCCCCCAGCCCAGCCCGAACCGCGTTACTCACTCTCTCAGCTTCTTCCTGTCATCTGCCAGTTTCTCTCCGGCGTAGGTTAAGTGGTACGTCCGCCATATGTACTTCCTGGGGGAAAAACGCTCAGGGGGAGCGGCAGGCGGGACGGGGCCGGCCGGTTTCCCCACACCGACGGAGGAGGGGGTGCGCGGCCCGACACCCCCCACCCCCCCC